CCATTCCAGGATTCTTTGTGCTTCTGGAAAAGGGATGTTCTTTGTATATTTTACGTTCAGTATTTCTTTTTCCTTTGTCCACATTTTATATGATCTAGCTTAGACTGAGTGGTCTTCACCACAATTTGCACAACTGCAGTTAAGCTTAGTCATTGGTGGTGTTTTCCATATCTGCTGCATACTGTTTGTCCAATACATATATTTTTCTGGTGGACAAATTTTTGGCATTTAAAGCAGCAGATTTGGAATTTCATTTTTGTAGTCTATTTATTTCTTTAGGGATGGTAGGTATATGTCTTTGTATAGTTTGGTTTTCTTTTCTTATGGATATGCTTTGCATCCACCACAACTTGGCTCTTCAATTCTAGTGTTCAATTGTGCAACAAAAGAGTTCTCTACTTCGTACTACCTTTTGAGGTATTTAGTGTGTGTGTCTATTTTGTGTGTGTGTGTGTGTGTGTGTGTGTGTGTGTGTGTGTGTGTGTATGTAAGGTAGAAAATGTACATGTTTTTTCTTCTTCACTTATTATAATTGTACTATTTCTTAGAGTTTTTTTTTAATTTTCTGATTCACTTTCTGTATCATCATGGATTTTTTTTTTTATTACTAGTGTTTTGTTTTTTTAATTTGTTGCCGTTATTCATCAGTTATGCTCTCCACCCACCTCAGAGCCTCATATGGGAGACCTGATGAGGGGGGAAATTCCATTTGCCCCATCCATCCAGGGCTACATAACTGATATATACAAATATGGGAGGAATTTGAGTACCTGTTGTATTTGGGAATGTCCACCCAAGTATGGGCTTTCTTCATTTTTTACAACAGCCATGCCAGAGTCCTTTATCCCTACTTTGACCATACAGCCACCGCTTACTAAGTCAATTTTGGTGTGATGGGTGAGGGTGTGTTTTTCTGTTTTGTTGGTCTGACTTAGAACTTGATGTAACCAGCAAAATTGATTGGATTGGGCCCCTCCAACCACCCGTCTAGCCTAAGTAAGCGCCAAAGTAGTGTGCTGAAATTCAGGCATATTCTACCTAACTCCAGAAGTCCTCAACTACCAGGATCCCATCCTCAAGCTGCCACTCACAGCAATCAGGCCCCATTGACAGGTGCAGTTGGTGTATTCTACAGCCCCAGCCAACAGAGCAATTTTTACTTGCATTGAAAGACCCAACTGTTACTTTTAATATGCTGATGACACCTATATTTTTGATAATGAGTTGGAGGTAGTTTTTTTTTTTTTTGAATGGGTTACTTCCAGCTTTCTGATTTGTGTAAGAAAGAGGATAATGGTGTCCTTCCTTTTAGTAGACAGGATTCAATGTTAGTAATATTGGTGCACGATAAACCCACTTATCAGATAATATACCTGCTATCCAAAACAATGCAAGATTAACCTTATTAAAATCTTACTCCATTCTATCCAAAATGAATAGAATTTGAGAACGGTAATGGCTACCCTCTTGATGTCATGCAATCCTGTTCTGTTTTGCATTAGTATAGTTTCCTTCATTTATCTCCCTTAATGACCCTTTATTTTCAAGAAACGCTTGAAGGGGTTTAGCTGTTAGAGACATGCACAGGTTTTCCAAAACAAACTCATTTCTGGAGACAGTACAATAAAATAACATCCTCATAGCTATTGGATTTATGTAGTCTAAGCAAACTACCAGAACTATGAACCTTGCCAACATCACTATGAAAACCGATAACTGTGCAACGTGCAGTATCTAAAAGAGTAATGGCTTTACTGCAAACAGCTGCTGCCAAAGCAAAGTCTGAAGCAGCCAAGGCAAGACTTACATCTATTGAGGAGGAATAGTGAACAAAAATGGAAGTAAGGAAGGCTGAACTGTAAAATGAAATGGCCATGACTAAAGCCAAGATTCTCAAAGCATCTTCAGACAACCTAAATGAAAGGTTCAGCTATGACCACCCGAGATCTGACTTGACGCCAGCCGTCCATGACCCTGGCCCATGCACAACAGAATATTTGGCTGATCAAGTATGTCAGCCCAAGGTACAAGTCATCAACCCCCAAGTCACTTTGTGACAGAGAGATTGCTCATGAACACTTGAAGAGAGTTCTAACATAAGTCCCTCAAGTTAAAGAACCTAGGCAAACTCTACAACACGCCCCCAGTTATCACTCGCCCAATTCATGTCAGAGCTACCAAATCACCTGATAAATTCTGTCCTTGTAATGCCAAACAAGACACCTCTATGTTAGATTTCATGAAGTACTTCACGCAGCATAAGCTCATCACCAGATTACCTAAGTTTAATGACAAGCCAGAGGCACAGCTGTTTAAAACCCTTTTTTTGTCATATAGGAAAATCCAACATGGTGCATAAACGAAATATTCGGCGAAAAATCCTATTCATCAGTAACATTTTAAACACCTCATAGAATGTAAAGTTCTTAAAGCAAACCTGTGCCAAAGTGTTTTCCTGAATCCTTGGATGACTTGGTTGTCCGAAAATGACAACATCAAGATGAAATAATGGAAACTGACCGAGAAAAACAATTATGTGCAACAAGTTTTCAATCAACTAGTAAACTTCTGGACCTTTTCGTGCAATGTTATTGGATCCAGACGGCTATTGTTTGCACATGGAATTATTCACTGGTATTTAATCTTCAATTTGGCTGTGGAAAATGTCACTCGGCAGTTAGCATTAAGAAATTATACCCAATTCTCTGAGAAAAATCACCTTTTTATGAAAAAATATTTATTTTCACTTCATCACTTTCTCCTTAATATAGTGCAAACATCATTGAATAAAAGGAACAGCAAAATGCCCCAGCGATGGGAAATACGAAAGACATGCAGCAAAAAAAGTTGTCGGCTAAGTGTTGTCATCACTAGGGCCATGAGGTGTTTCAAACAAAACACATCAAACTATAGGTTTGAAGAAGAAGAAAAAAAAAAAAAAAAAACCTTATATCAAGCCCTACCAACGTTGGCAGTTTTTTTTTTAACACTCATTGCTCTTATCTGTGAGTGGTGGGTTTTATTACAACCTGACGACAACTTGTTCTAAACGTTTATTGCTGGCTGACCTTTGACCCAGAGATGTCAAAGTCATTTTTCTTCCTGGTGGGGGTTGGGGGGGGGGGTTCTGGTGGGCAGGAATTGCAGATAAATCTTTCACCTTTTACTAAAGATTTCCGTGGCTGGGTGTATTTTTTTAACCTCTGGCAGTCATATAATTGAAAATTACCAATGGACTTAGTCGCATTCCGCCCCCACCCTCATAAAATTGCTCAGTAAAGAGTCAAAAATACAAATGAAGTCTGTCAATCTGAACAACTCGGAAAAACGTTTCGAAAGGATATGGAATCAATTTGAAGAGTGAGAACGGCACCTCCAGAAGTTATAGAAGCTGCTACCTTTAACTTTTTGGAAGGCTTCCCCAAAATGTTGAGAAGGGATTTCCTGAGGCTAAGGGATTATGGCAACCTGCACATGGAGATTCTATCCTCACCTACCTGGATACTACTCAGAGACTTCACCCCTTGGTAGCCAATTTATCCTTCCCACTTCAGGAGAAGTGGCTCTCAATTTTGAAATATAAAGACCAACATCATGTCCTCCCTCCATTTTTAATTCATGGATTTTTAAGCAAGGATTAGAAACAATCCAAATTTCAGACGGTCCTCTGTCTGCAAAACAGGAAGGATAGGGCCCTACCGGATATTGCTCCTTGTACAAGAAACCACATCTCTTATCGAAATGTTATGCAAGAGGCATTCATGAAAGACAACAGGATCTGTTTCAAATGTTGCTCGTCTACAATACACAAAGACAGATTCTACAGAGCAAACATCAAATGTGACAAATACAACAGTGAGAATCACAACACTGCTCTCCAGCCAGGACTACCACCATCGATACTAAACCTACCAGGGACTATGGCAGGCAGTAGACTTCCAACAGCAGCCAGAGTGGTTTCACAATGCACTCAGATTTGTGGTGGTAACCTCTCTGTAAAGTTGTGTTCTAAAATCAGCCTGGTTATCTTCTACTCCTCAGGGCAACTGGGAAAAGTGGTAAGGATGTATGCCATCATCAATGAGCAGAGCAATAAGTCCCTAGCATGCTCAGACTTCTTTGACAATGATGGCCCAATTTTTCCCTACTTCCTAAAGACTTGTGCTGGAGCATTATAGACTGCGGGAAGAAAAGCAAAGGGCTTCCAAGTAGAAGCATTTGATGGGCAGGTCAGCCTCTATTTCTGAGCCTAATCAAACAAAGTACCTGATGATAGGTCCAGTGTTCCAATCCCCAAAGCAGCTCTTCACCAGTCAGCTCCACTCCAATTTACTATTTCTAGGAATTACTTTTTCATTTAGAATATTTCCATTCTAATGGCCATAATAAAATTTTGTACCCTTTGAAAAATCTTTAAGACCTACTTTCATTAAGTATTCTAATATTTTTATGATTAACTTTGTTTGCAATTAAAGCTTCTAAAATATCTTTAAATTATTGCAATACATTTAAAATAAAAACGCTGTGATAGTACATAAATAAGCATTTGCTATTAACTTACTTAAGAATAGGTTTCTGCTTGGTTTCCACAACCGAGATACATTTAGTATAAGTACTTCCACTATTTCGGCATAAATTTTCTATATTGAAGTTTAAAATGAATTTTTTTACAACGAAAAAAACATTGAAAATTTCATTTTAGCTTTAATTGAAAGTTTAATAATTAAATTTACGATTTCTATTAAACAATTCTGGTGTATTTCAGATAGTAAGTATATACATTTGATTATCAAATTTAATTTCAAATTTTTCAATTTTCTTAAAAACGGCCATTTTCTTAATTTTAAGAAATTTGTAAACAAACACAAATTTATCGATTTTTAGAATATTTTTTAAAAATTCTGACGTTATTTTAGTAAAATTAAAAAATTTAATTTTTCCGCGAAAACAGTGGACATACTTAATTTAGTAAAAACCCAGATAAAAAATTAAAAAATTACCTGCCACAGGAGGACACAGGCAGATAGGGCATAGTGGCAAATCAGGTGTTGACATGCACTAAATAAGAAAAAAAAAAAAAAAAAAAAAGATGGTATACACAGTAAAACAGGAATAAAATCTAAATAGAAATCAGATCAAACCATTTTATTCAGAGATTACATTTTGGGATCCTCTTTGGTAAGAGGTAAATTGCATGTACTGTTACTTTGTCCATTAAATTTACCAAAATATTGCAAACCTTGAGATACTTTTTAAAGAAAAGAAAAAAAAAAAAAAAAAAAAAAGTAGTTTCTCAATTCAAAATTCTTTTTAAAGTCATACATATAACTAAAACTCTTGCAAAAATATACTAATAGATCAAAGTTAACCTTTGGAAGTACTAAGAAGAAATTGTTATATGTTTAGTAATTTCAAATTTTCAAGGATTAAAACTGAAAAGTTTATAGAAAAGTGATCAGTTTCACAATGGTTCAATTTCTTTTCTAAACTGCCATTGAATCTACAAGCATTTTTTTTTCCAAGATATGGTGTAAAAATTTAAACATGCAGCAAATGTTATGAAGAAATGAAATGGTTTTAAATCTAATATAGATATATTATACAAAAAATGTGAAGAGAAAGGAGAAAAAAAAAAAAAAAAAAAAACTGACTTAGCATTTTTACCAAAGCACTAGTTTACTAAGCTTAAAAATGTTAGATTTAACATGGAATAAATTCAGTGAATTAAGCAAGAGAACATTATATATATTGAAGAAAGAAAAACGTTGCATTAGACATACTACCAATATATATATATATATATATATATATATATAAAAATCATATTTAACATCTAAAACAGAAATAAACTAAAATTTTGTATGAAACTACACAATGGAAGATGTAATACATTTTGAATACTGTATTTTTTTTCCAGATTCTCAATGATATTACATTTTTAATATGCCTAAATACAGATACATGCAAGACAGCTATATGGGCAATAAAATAGAATTCAAATATCTCAAATAGCAAGAATGCTAATACATTTCAATAGAAGTTTTGCAACTTCAGACCGACTAAAAGGTTTTACTAATTTCCCTTCCTTTCAAACAACTGGCCTTTATGAATTTAAAACAAAATCAATCTAATATACTTACCAACTGTTCAATGTTATTCCACTCTACTGGTTGATCTGGGTCAATAACATGGATGCTATAGTCACCACTGTCTTTCATCACAAACTGGCAACTGATAAAAAGTAGCAAAACAATATTTGATGTATGTTTACAGAAATAAATTCTACAATTGAAGTTAGACAACATTTTTACTATCTTCTCACACAGCAGTTTACAGTATATTGTTCTTGCAAGGTTTTACCCTTCATAATATAGCTAAATGGTAATACACAATACCCACAAAACTGTTTGCCATTGAAATAATTTGAATTTTGCACTAGTTTATATTATAAGAGATACAATAAAGGAATAAAAACTACAGGGCTATTTTAATTCAATTTTATACATACAGAGTCAATTAAGTACAAGTAATAAAATGCTTGTTCACCTCTACACTTTAAAAATAAAATCAACAACTTATTCTGAAGTCTTTCTTAGACAATACAAGATAATTTGGGAGAGGTTTTAGCATTTTTTTTTTTTGAAGTTTAGAGAAAAAAATATACTCACTTAGCTTGCAAATATTGTTGCTTGTTGAAGACCCCTCCTGCAGCATAACTTTTGAAGTGATGGCGACGGGGCCGACTATGCAGAGTTCCATGATAGGAACTGCGATGAAATCCATAATCAAAGTTGATCATTTGATTCAGATCTTTTCTAGACACTGAGGAGTTATACTCCACCACTATCTCATTTGCTACCTGGAAAACAGCAATTACTAAACAGCTATAGATTCCGATATCATGGAAATAAACTGCTATAGATTGATATTAGAGGGAGGTGCCGATAGATATTTTCTAGCTAAAAGTGCCATGATGGGAAATTCATTTTTATTTGAATTCCACCACTGAGAAACATCACTTTATATTTTTTTTATACAATAATTTTGCCATTTCAAATTTTAATAAATATATTTCTTTGCTTGTTTCACTAACTGCTTTATCCTGTAACACATTTGGCTCCCCTTTTCCTTCAATTCAGTGAGACACTGAAAACTGAAATTAAAGTTACTATCATTACCATTTTTCTCTTCAGACATATCATGCCTTGTGATACTTTAGGTGAGGTGTCAGTTTTTCCTTCGGTTATGGAATAAATATCTTGAACAAACCATTCTGCAATAACCTTGTCAGACAGGCCACTGTAGTTATTTTCAATGAAACTAGTCTTGAACCTGGGATCAAGATATTACTAGAATAAGGTCTTTGTCTTCCAAGTAGCTGCTAATTATTGCATTAAAAGAAGCTTTCCATGATGAATGGGTTGAACCTAACCCCTCAAACAGTCCCTTTTTCTTCTCCCCCTTAAAAAAAAAAAAAAAAAAAAAAAAAAAGGATAAATTACTGATGTGTGGTATAAGAGGCAGTTGCTTCTCTATTAATAAATTTATACAATCAATGAATTGTATTTTCAGTAATCTCTCTAAAATCTTCCATTGGTTGGATTCTAAATAATGTGGTTTTGCATGATCACTGCATTTGTTTTGTTCAAATACTCTGGACATCCTGAATAAAATTATGATCTGGTAAATTAAGTTTTTTTTCTGGTATTCCTGGTACTTTACAAAAGCTGCAGATGAGTGATTGAATTGACCAACAATTTGTTTACAAATAGAAAGCATATCCTTCACATACCTTTGTACAAAGATAGCATCATTAATGGTCAACTGCACAGTATTTAGAAAACAAAGTAATGACTCATAGGGCTTGTACAACTGCTGCCATATTAGCTGCATTATCTCTTATGAGAACATGAATTTTACTACGAGAAATATTAAACTGCTGTACTGTCTGTGATACATCCACTTATATTTATTGCAGTGTGTGATACTTCTAATGGAATAATTCTTAGAACTGTGCTTTTTGTTCAAAATTTTCAGTGATCCAATGAAAAGGATAAATTTGCTGAACTAGCAGTCAGAGATAAATGAGTAGCAGTGCTGATTTCCTCCTGTGTCTTATTTCTTTTATATATCTTGCAAAATATTTTCTTTTATATACTTTCAAGAGGAAATTTGATAATTCAGACTTATATTATCTTTTAAAATCAAGATCTTCTACAATAGAAAAAGTTTGAAGATTAACTGCAATCATTTCTCTAATACATTTATGAATTTTTTGGGCTTTGCTGTCATTTATATTCCATGTTTGATAAATAACTTCATGTAAAGTTTGTTGCTTAAGACTCTAGACAAATTTTTCCACTTAATTATAGTTGATCAGTTGATAGACAATGTTATTTTCATCTTTCCTTTTATATTCCTTTTGGCTTTGTATTTAAGTGTTTCAACATATTTGTTGTGGTGAAGAAGCTCCTCTAGCTATTTGTGCATCAAACAGCTGACATATTGCTTTACTTTGGTTATTATCAGTAAGTTATGTGCCATGCGTGATACAGTTAGGCGATCATGTATCTTTTGATACATGACTGACGAGGCAGTGACATAAGTGAATGGATTTGAATGGAATTTGCTCAGATTCCTCAATCTGAGCTGCTATCCCTTATTCTCCACTGAAATCTTCAAGAAATAAAACAAAAATCTTCCAAACTACACTTTTCTCCTTGGCATTGGATCCACATGCCATAATTGGAGTCTGAAAATAATAAACATCAGTTAAAATTTATATTTTCCAGTTAGATAAAAAATGCTTCAAGTTTTGTAAGGGGTATAATTTGTATAGATTCAACTAATGGTTTGCTATTAATTGTAAAATAAAGTATATTTTTTGTCCACTTTATATATTTTAAGTTTCAACAAGCAAAGGCATCCTCTAAATATTTATTATGCAATCTTTTAAAAATTTTATGTGGCATTTTTCAATGAATGGGACAAATTTATGATTGACAATTCAATTTCATCATGCACTTCAAAAATAGGAGACACTCTCAAAATATTGCAACAATAATACTTTAAGCAGAAAAACAATACATAGGATGATGCCTAAGTCATGCATATATTTTGATAAAGTACAATGAGTACCTAATCATGCAGGACAGGAAATAAAATAAATGAAAGTTTTAAATTTGCTTACAGATGCTTAATAATTAAATATGAATTATCACAGCAATTTAATAAATAAATAATAAAGGGTCTTCAATATTATCTAAAAAATTTAATCACTAATAAGTTTTGTCTCAAATTTCTCACAACTAAAAAATTTAATTTCTAAAAAGTATCAAAAAGTGTTAAAAGAAAAATAAATAAAGAGAGATTAAAAGTGCAAAAACACAGTAAAAATATATCCTTTGACTTAAGGGATAAGCAATTTTAGCAAACTTTACAATAAATTTAAAACAGTATTAGGAAGTTGAAACCTAAATAACGCCGATATCCAATGTGATCATTTTATAATGTACAAAGCACTAAAATAAAAATAAGATTAAAAATGATTAAAATCTTCATAAGGATGAGAACCAATGTATAGTTTTTGCATGGGGTCAATTTTTTTCAGTTATTTATTAGATTATTATAAAATAAAATTTTACTAGTTTTAATTTAAAAATATTGAAACAAACAATGTTAAAGTGGAAAAACAGGATAAAATACTCGTTTTTTTTTTTTTTTTATACACTTCTACTTATAAAAATAGAAATTTAGCTCCAAGGAGGAATAAATGAGGAAAAAATTTCAAAATATTTTAAATGCCATAATTTAACGCAGCAAAAAAAAAAAAAAAAAAAAAAAAAAAAAAAAAATTTTTATGGAATTTTAGGTTTTTAATACAAACTTGTATGAAAAGGCTTTTTTTTTTCAGGAAACTTCAAATAAAAGTTATTTTTTTAAGTAAATAAAATTTCAAAATGGATTTTCCTCTTTAAGAAATATATGAATTTCATAGAAACAAAGACTAAAAAATGATTTTATGGATTTTTTAATCCATAAAATCATTTTTTAGTCATTTTGTTTCTATGAAATTCATATATTTCTTAAAGAGGAAAATTAAGAAAAATTCTGAGAAAAATTTTTTCAGCGAACATTTTCTTGTAAGACTTACATTGAAAAGTGTACGAAAAATTGTTGTAATTTAACTGCCTCACCAATTTGTGACAAGGTAAATTTTTTTTGTGAAGAAATCAAATGTGACAATGACAGAAATTTCATACATTCATTTGAATGTATGGAATTCCTGCCAATGAAATGTAAATACCTACCACCTTATATGACATTCTGGATTAAGTGCTAATTGAAACTGTATATGGAAGTTTATTTTTAATCCCTACTTAAGAATAATTGAAAATCTGAATTTTAAAATAAAGTTTTATATAAAAGATTCTAAATTTTTTTCTAGGTTTCCAAATGCAGACAATGCCTTTTTTTTTTTACAAATCAAAAAAGAAATAATGACTGACATTAATTTGAAAAATATTTCAAGAATAAAAATAATTGTCGGATGTTAATGAAACTTTCAGAAACTATTCACAAATGATGGAAATTATAGTTTTCTTTTTTACATTTATTATCACCCACCGATAATTTTATGAAAACTCTAGAAATTCAATACCAATCAGTTTAGTAATTATATTAAAGTAGGCACCTTCACGAGATTGCTATAAAAAAAAAAAAAAAAAAAAAGCATAGTCTGATGAAAAAGACTCCAAACTTGACGAAAACAAAATTTTATCGCCTAAATGTTTAGTTTATTATTATAATAGGAAAGACTGATGTATTTAATTATTTAAATTTTTTTCCCTTATTTTTAGAACATTCTAAATTGATAAAAAAAAAAAAAAAAAAAAAAAAAAAAAGCCTCGTTTCGCTTTGTATCATCAGAACTAGTAAAAAATTTTTAGTGTGTTTATTTTTTTTCATGAAGGACATTAATTTGGAAAGTTGAAGGCTTTGAGGAAAGCAAATCAGGTTATTTTTGTTTTTTTGTTTTTTTTTTAATCTGACCCCCTAGCTGAAAATCAGCTCTGAATTTTAACATACAAAAGATATTTAATTTCAAATACTTTTAGTTGATGTTATGAATAATAGTGTCTGAAAGCAAAAACTTTTTCAATGAAAAATGAATTTTTAAAACAATTATTTGTTATTTCTTAAATTATTTTATCATTTTTACATTAAAGTTATTAAACATTATAAAATTAGTGACGACGTTCACTTTAGTCAATGATGTCATTAAGTAGATATATCTTCTACCATTATAACAATCAGAAAAGCCACACGGTATAAAAAAAAAAAAAAAACACTAATTCCAGATGGCTTTTGTGTCTATTAAAGCATTGTAGACGTAAGAGATAGAGGAAAAAAAAAAAAAAAAAAAAAAAAAAAAGAGATTAAAAAAAAAAGACGAAAAAAAAAAAAAGAGAAAAAAAAAAAAAGATTAAAAAAAAAAATTAAAAAAAAAAAAAAAAAAAAGAGATTAAAAAAGAAGAGAAAAAAAAAAAAAAAAGATTAAAAAAAAATTTAAAAAAAGAAAAAAAAAAAAAAAAAAATTTAAAAAAAATAAGAGATTTAAAAAAAAGAAGAGATTTAAAAAAAAAGAAGAGATTAAAAAAAAAAAAAGAGATTTAAAAAAAAGAAGAGATTAAAAAAAAAAAAAGAGATTTAAAAAAAAGAAGAGATTTAAAAAAAGAAGAGATTAAAAAAAAAATTTTTAAAAAAAAAAAGAGATTTAAAAAAAGAAGAGATTAAAAAAAAAAGATTAAAAAAAAAGATAAAAAAAAGAAGAGATAAAAAAAAGAAGAGATTAAAAAA